TGCGAAATAGGAGCACTATTTATCAATCTGTAATAAAAGACGTGAGGAAATTCTGTCTTTTTTAAAGACAAAAATTTTTGAGGCGAAATACCCAAGAAGAAGTTTGTAAAAAAATGAATCCGCCTCAACAATATAGAACTTATCTACAACAGTATCATGTTTGAGCCGATTTTGCGACTCAAAAAAAACACGCAAATCTAAAACTTTTTGAAATCAAGACTTTTTTGAGAAAACTGCCAACATTTGCTTATCGATGGTTCACTTTATAAAAAGGCCATTTAGTTCTCTCTGGAATGATGTAAAAGTGAGCGTTCTTGCTCATTTTGCTTCCGAGAAATGCGCAAAAACGCAAGCGAAAACATGAAATTTTGGCATAATCTTGCAGCTAAGTGTCTGATATTCAAATTTCGCTTTCTGGGTCAAAACAACTCGAATTTTCTCGTAATTGGTGTAACTGGATCGAATTTTGAAGCTGCTATCCTTAAAATTACTATTGATTGTTTCAGACGTATATAAACGGAATTATTCTAAACATACGCAAATAACGACAATATAATAATAAAAAATTGTTTTAATATTCAACCACTTTTTAATTAATAAGTTACTTACTTGCAAAAGATTCAGATAATAATCCACACCAGCTTGATTGATTTTGTTGGTGGTACCATCGGGGAGAATTCTGGACCAGGAAATCGAGAATCTGAAACGTAAAAATACGTTGAAAGTACTACTATAAAAACTATTTCCAGCGCTACTAGAACAGATGTCTTTTTGCGAAAAATTTTATGAGAAGAGTTTATTGTCTTTACCTATAAATGCTGACACCTAATTCGGTCAGCAAGCGGACATCTTCCCTCCATTTGTGGTAAGAATCACATGCAATGTCGGCATTTTTCCCATCTGTAGTTCTACCTGAAGAAATGTAAGTTTGATTTACATTGATTTGGTTCCAGAAGAATCACAAAAAATTCATACTTTCATCTTGTAAGTAAAACTTCTTGAATATTTGCGCCAATTTTTATAGGGCTGTATTAGATGAAAATATCCGCTTAGAAGTGAATATAACGTAAGAATAGAAAAGAATCATCATTATAATATTCATAATTATTGAAATTCAAAGTCCATGTATATCGTGTTTATATGAAGATCACAAAATCGAGCAAATGCAATATTTTAATGTTTTGCCTGTCGCTGCTTGTTTCGGTGCATCACAACAATTTCATATTAATAAAACTCCTTGTATATTGATGCATACGCGTCATTTTCTCAAAATAGAGACAAACCTTTAATTAAACTGAAAACAATTACTTGTAAAGTGTGCCTACTCTACTTACTAGCATTGTCATGTAGAAATCGATCCCACATATTCTCTCCTTTGCCATCTTCATCCCATGCACCCTCTATTTGGTAAGCCGCTGATGCCACTCCAAATTTGAATGACTCTGGAAAGCGTCGATCTGTTATCTCTTCATCTCCGCAAACTCTGCAAAAAACATCACTTGATAAACAGTGAGACAATACTGTTAAAATCACAACATTTGTATAATCAATCACATCGAAATGTTTTTGAATTTCCAATTTCCTGCTTCTTTCGTTAAAAAAAATAATTTTCTATTTATTTAAGAGATTTTGTCTTATCGGACTTATTAGCGAATCTTATTTCAGTGCCACTTAAGTGACGAATTAACTTTCTGAAAATTCAAACGGAATCCAAAACCGACGACTGTCTAATTTTGGCTTAATTTTAAATCAAAACTGAAACATTTTATATGCACCTGTACAATATTGTACATGTTTTCTCACCTAGAGCAGATGCTCATCAAGCAGACGGAAACTAAGATTCCAGTGGTGATCTTCGTAGCCATCTTGGTTAAGAGCACAGAAACTGGAGCTCAAAGTTCCACGCTTTTTAAAAGTATTTCCTCCACAAATTTCGAGATTATTGCATCATCGATCACGTCGTAATCTCTTTGCAAATTGTCAAAAATTAACTTAAGTGTTTATTTACTTTTGCTTTGAATTTTTTCCTTTATTTACTGATTACCCGGCGACAATGAAAGCATTGACAAACCTCTTCAAAGGATTATGATTAAAATGTGTAAAGCTCTTATATCAGTTCAATCGGGGGAATAGCAATATAGTTCAGTAATCCTGTTAGGTAATTTTTTAATTTAGAAAGAGGTGAGATGGATTTAAAAAGAAAAAGTCGATGTAAATGAAAGATTGATGAGTATAACAACAAGTCAGATGAAGGAAAGTGGAAGCGAAGGCTGACAAAGACTGAAAGTAGCGAGAAGAAAAATGCTGTAATTGACCAACCAATGAGAGGAAATATGGAGTCCAGTAGATAACAATTCACATTTGATTAAAGGAACATTGAACAGACGCAACAGCAACAAATTGACGAGAAATGTTGAGAATAACAAACTAAAATCGAAAAATAATATTGAAAACTTAACTGTTTGAATACCGTTGTATATTTTCAATAATGCAAACTAAGTTCACCAAATTTTCTTCAGTATTGTCAAACAAAACTGTTTAATTCAAGCGGATTTTGCAGAATTTGGCATTGTATCGGTCCAGTCTATATTTTTTCTTGTCTATGTCTATTAGTTTTAAATTTATACTCGATTATTCCACCCCATTTGTATTTTAACGAGTTAGTTTGAATTAGTCAAAATCAATTATGTGGAAAATTTTTACTAACTATTTGTAGCAGCAACAATTCTAACTTTATCTTACACAAATTTGCCTCAGAACAAAGCGTTTCTGTTCCTCAGAAGATTTTCCGGTGCATAAACACCATTATTAGGGTGAAAATATAGCTTAAACACCTCTAGATTGCTATGGAAAAATGCGTAAAGTCTAATAAGAGTTTATAAAGTTTACATAAAAAAACAATAGATTATATAAAAATAAGAAGTTGTCTTTATTTTAGAAATCTTTATTAACGCTGAAATAGACACATTTTCCTGCATATGAAAAGCCAACAATTAAATTTCTGCAAATTATTATACTGCAAGAAAAGTGTATTTTTTTAAATATTAAAAAAGAACAAGTCTCAGAGGTATCTTATAATTTGACCAGATAATGCGGCTAAGAAACATTTCAAAAGTATCATGTAGTACCAGCGGAAGTTGCTGATAAGATATAGTCATTTAAGATGCGAACAAAGAAATTCATCCAAAATGAAGTACGTATATTTAATTTAACATTTTTTTTATAAATATGATTTACAAACAAATAAACAATCCGAAATTATTGCGAATTTTCGCAAAGGAAGTTTGATGCAGTATTCAGAGCGACTTTAATAAAATAGAATAAAATGTGTTTTGATTTCTTTTCCAAATCAAGAGTTTGACGATCACTTTTGAAGAAGCCCCACGTTTTCACACAATAACACTTAAGGGTGTTTCTGCACTCGATTTGCTCAAATTACACTTTACTGCATTTTCGTAAGCAAAGATGATAAATTAAGAAAAAAATGGAAAATCATGCATGTTTTATTCGCACGATGCACCGAAAATAATGTCATAATTGCGATCAAGGAAAGTAAAATTATACTCATGTTTGTCAAGTTATTACAAACAGTGCTTTCAAAGATAAATCTATTAGATCAAGTGGAAGTTTTAGCAGAAATACACGACAGCAGATATGTGATGTGGAAACAAGAAAAAATAGTTTTTTCTACTTACTGATACCAAATAATCCTGAAACTGCACTTCCATGATCGATTCAAACCCAAAAGCGGTAATTTGAGCACAACAACATGTTTTGAGGGGATTAATTTTCAGTTCCTTTGAACATTTTTCTCATAATTACCTACACTTGAAACTTAAGTGGAATTAAACCGCGATTATGTCGAGTATATAACCAGACAAATTTAAATCGGCCGCTTATCGCACTTGTTTTCGTCAAGTTGTGAAAATGAAGGTGATTTTCCTCCTAGCTGTTACCAGCTTCTTCACGGGGTAAGTACATGGAATCTACCATACTCAAAACTCTCATTATAAATAATTACATGTTAAAACTGTACGATGGAAATTTAATAAAATACCCGGTTTAAAAGAAAAATTTACATTTTTCTTCAATATTTTCTCAGTTGACGAACTTGTGTGTCTCCTTCTTATCTCAGAATTTTCGAGCAAAAATTATTATGATGTGATACAATGATAAAAAAAAGAATAAAAACGTGAATACTAATTTATCACATGTTTCTGATAAATATATTATCAGGTATTCTATATGATGATGAGCTGGATAAGGGGCTGGGTATTTTATATAACTTAAGAAGAAAGATTGACAGTAAGAAAAATGCTAATTTGGGAGAACTAAAACAAGTAAAATGAAGTATCAAATGCTGAATGAGGAAATACAAAAGTGAGCCAGAAGATCGCAATTACGAAAGAACAGTGTACGAATTAAAAGCACAGAGGTAGCAGAAGATTTTGTAACAAAATTGCCAACAAACACAGTTTTTTACTTTTGTATCAAGTCTGATGCATCAGTCTTGTAAATTATTTTCCCCTTTTCCTTGTTTGTCATTTCCTAATCTCTATCTTATTTGAAAAGAAGATTTTGTTATGAAGTTCTGGTTATGAAAAAAATTAAAAGAAATTTTTGAACTAAACACACTAGCCCAGATAGCACACAAATATTACAGTAATGATTTTTTGCAATATTTAATATAGGTTGAAGCGACAGATTCTTGAATATTATAACAATATTTCTTATAAATATTTCTTTGACATTTAAATCAGATAT